GCTATTATTTTGTTTCAGTTGCCATTTGCTTCTTAATTTAATGGGCCAAATTTAGTAATGTCACTGTTTTTTTTATAACTCTGGACCTTTGACCTGGCTATATATGTACCTGTATCACAGATAATATTGCTATTTTTGCACATTGCCACATTTCATCAATCTCATTGTTCAATGGCTAAATGTGGCTCTCATGCGCTCTATTTTATAGCTATTTTTAACCCTGTTAAAAGGCTATTTTAAAGCTATTTTAACCCTGTTTATGTCTATTTTAAAGCTATTTTAAGCCTGTTTTCCAAGATATTTTCTTGTACATCCCAATTTTATCCCTATTTTATTACTATTTTAAAACAAATCTAACCCTGTTTTATGTCTATTTTAAAGCTATTTCAAGCCTATTATCCAAGGTACTTTCCTCTTCATCCCAATTTTATCCCCGTTTTATTACTATTTTAAGGCTATTTTCAGCCTATTTTATTTTCAACTTGTTTCATTCATGCTATTTTATTACTATTTTCTCGTCAAGTTGCATTGACATTATTCACTATTTTAAGGCTATTTTAAAGCTATTTTAAAGCTGATTTACATAAGTTTTGGTCAGCACTCTGGACTAGCTTTTTTTGGCTATTTTTTGTTTCAAAATAACAGGTTTAAAATAGGTAAAAAACTGCTTTAAAATAGTCCAGAAAAATAGTAAAAAAATACAAAAATGATAGGAATAAAATAACATAAAATAGGTATAAAATAGGTATAAAATAGGCATTATTTTCGTAAGGGTTCTTTTCATTGTGAATTGTGTAATGCTACTTTACAATTAAGCAAAAAGAAATATTTGGCTTGACTTGGAATAAGTCTGTTTGTATAACGCGAGAGAATGTTGTTAATTTCCGGCGTTGCTCTCAGCAGTATAATTTGTAAACAAGAATGAATTGTTTCACAGTGCGTTACATTGGTATACATGCAGCAGTGATCAAATCAGATATTTCTCTAAAAGAGCAAGACAGAAATTGAAGATGCCG